TGAAGCACGCTACAAGAGCCAGAGAGAATGCGGAGGAGAACAGGGGAACGGGGGAGGGAGAGGGGGGGGCGTGAAGCAAGGAGGGAGATCGGACGGAGGCAGGCGGGAGGAGGGGGCGGGGGAGGGAGGCGGAAGGATGGAAAACTGAGGAAGGAGGAAGGAGATCAGGAGAGAGGTGGAAAGGAGGAGCGGGTGAGGGAGGACTGCGAAGGGAAGGCGGCGGGAGGAAAGAGTGGGGACCTTTCCGGACAAGAACAGAAAGCGCCGCTTCTCTGAGCTTACGTGCGCACGCGCGCATGGATTTGCAACCAAAGCGCATGCGTGCACATGGATGCAGTCGCTGGGCTCCCCTAAATGCCCAGATAGTCGCCGTTGATAGCTCGTGTTTAGTGGTTGCCGACGCGCGCGTCGCCGCAACTGCGCGCGGGAGCCAAGGTTGGGATGGGAGGGCCGTCACGCGAAATGTCATGTTCGTCCACGCACGTTCTGCGGTCCCCATGGGGCCACTCGCTCAATTCGTGCGTCGATGCTGCGCCGAACGTCCGTCGATGTTGAGCCCGACTTTGATCAAGCAGATCTAATAAGTGGGCCCCAGGAAACTCCCCCAAACGAATACCAGAACGAGAAATTGCCCCTCTATAGGAAAAACATCGTGCACTTGGAATTGGCTTGGTTCCGTGCACGACGGGTCCACGTTGGCTGTACCTGGATTATGGCGAAACGTTATCCCGCCAGCCCTCTGGGCGTGAATGGTTTCGAGCGCTTCCTCTTCCCACTCCCCTTCTACCCCTTCGGGGAAGGGTTTCCCCACCCCCCCTGCCCATCCCCTGGACCTGGATAGGGGGGGGTGCGGTCGGCACAAATCATTAATTCTACTTGGGTTTGAGAAGCATATTGGCTTCCTTTGGGGGGGCAAACTGAGCCCCCGCCCTTCTTTGATCGATATCCTCCAAGATTGTCCCAAGATGGCTCCCAAAGAGTGCCCCCAGAGTGCCCCAAGAGTCACCTAGGAGGCCTCAAGAGGCTTCCAACAGGTCCGCAAGGCCCCCAGGAGACCCCCTAAGAGGCCCCCAAGAGGCTCCCCTGAAGCACCCAAGCCACTCCAAGAGGCCCAAGACCGCCAAGAGGCCCCCAAGACGCCCCTAGAGGACTCCAAAAAGCTCTCAAGAGAGATCCGAAAAGACTCCAGGAGGCATCCAAGAGGCCTCTGGCCTTTCTCCTCCTCCTCCTCCTCCTCCTCCTCCTCGTCCGCCTATTCCTGCTCCTCCCTCCTCCCTCCTCCCTCCTCCTTCCTCCTAAAGCCCGGCCCTCGCCGCCGCGCTTGCCTCCGCGGGCCGGTGCCTGGGCGGCCTTGGGCTCGCGGTCGGGACCCGTGCCTGCGCCGCCGAGCGTGCCCCGCCAACCCGTGCCTGGGCGGTCTCTGGGCTCGCGGTCAGGCGTGCCCTCGCGGCTGCCCCTGCGACTGCGACCCCAGGCCCGCACGGAGTGTCGGGAACTCTCGGTCCCGTGCTTGAGTATCGTTTAACCGATCCCCATCCCCAGCGGCGTGGCCTGGGCCCCACTGGCCGATTTACCCCCCTAGATGGGGATAGAGGCTGTTCCCTTCGGGTTTCGAGGGGCGTATCCCCCAGTGGGGTGGTAATTTGGTGGGGTCGAAGGGGATGAGGATGGGGATGGGGGTCGGTTCAACGAGACTGAGTGCTGGGGCCGTGCCTGGGCGGCCTCGCTGGCGGGCTGCCTCTGGCCCGTGCCGCCCGCGGCGGCGCTCGCAATCGGGGCCCGCGCCCTCGCCGCCCGGGCCTGTGCCCTGGGCCTGCGCCGTGTGCGCCCTGGCGGGCTCCGCGGGGCCCGTGCCCCGCTCTGCCGGCCCGTGCGGCCCGCGCCTTCCGCTCAAAAAGAGCCCCCCCCCACAATAACAAAAAAAACGCGCGCTCGCAAGCGCAGCAGGCACTCCTGTCGCGCGCGCGGGCGCGCGCACGCACTGCAGCTGCTGCACGTGATTTCACCCTGCGCGCTTCGCGCCGCGCGCATGGCACGCGGAGTGTAGTGGAGTGCTCGAGTGGATGGCGGGCGAGAGCGGGGGATCGCTGGAGGCGGAAATGAGCCCGACGCGTTAGGGCGGCCAGGGTGGTCCGAGGTGGCTCCAAGAAGGCCTCGGACATCCGGATGAAGCCTCCACGATGGTACGAGACGGCTCAATCTGATGCAGGAGGCGCGTGAAGCTGCGGAAAAAGGAAGAGAAGAAGCGGGAGGAAGGGGGGAGGAAACTAAGAAACGTAAGGGGAAGGGGAGAAGGAGGAAACTCAGCACACCCCTCAATGTATGGTGTGCCCTTTGGCTTCCTGGATGATTCCAGCTGGCGTCTACGATAGTTCAGGGAATCATCCTAGTCGGCACAGACACTAGCGCACTCTTATCGTCATTTGGCAATCCAGGACGGAAGACATGCGATTCTACTCTGCCATAAGCACGGCAGCGGGGGTACAACTGTAACGGATGTGCAGAGAAGGCCGCGTCAACATAAAGCACGTGGCACTGGCCGCACCCATTAGAGGATAGCTCAACTTCTGCATGACCCAGCCTTTCGTTGCAAAGGGTACACTGGACGTCAAGATACGGTGGTGATGGGGACAAGTGGGCTGGCAAGGCTGGGAAATCGTAACTGGGATCCGAATATCAAAAGACCATACTCCGACTGACGACTACGTATAGCAAGCGCGTGCAGCTCTGCGAGGTGGCCTACGTGCCGATAACGCATCAGGAGCAGACTTCATTCAGCGCAATGCAGCACCGCAGCGATGTACAATGTACAGTAGAAGCTTTCGGGGAAGCATCGGCATCAAGCATCACGATGTTGTGAGAAAGACACATAACGGATGTTTCTGTCCAGTCCAACTGCTCGCAACGGGCTGTTCCCAGGGACCAGAACAAGAAAACGGCGGCACAACATTCCTCACTACAAAGCCGCAACCCACCCGTGTGAGTACATTATGCGGGCAAGTTCTACGAGACAGCTGATGTCAATGACAGTGGAGGGCGAGGGACAATCAGTTTGACAAGTAGACACGAGCTATGTGCAAGAAATTACAACAATACCGAGACCCCAGTGCCCTGGGGTTCAGCAGCCCCACAACCCAGCAACCCTGGGATTGCTGAGCAATTCCACCATCCATGCTCCTGAATATTGTCCTTCTTGTTTCTCCCTCCAACTCTTTATTCTTCTCTTCCTGCTCGTTTAATGATCCTCATCCTCCTCCTCAGTAAGTACTACGAATAAGAACAATAATGATAATAATAATATTCAGAAGAAGAATAATCAGAAAAAGAAGACACATCATAACCAGTGATCACTGAGCATCGATTCGTGGGCCCGCCAAGAAGACGGGGACAAGGGGGGAAGGGGGGGGGAATCCGCCACCGCGCTCCCTGTTGCACGTCGAGGCGTGGCGGAACGCCGAGTGCTGTCGGGCAGGGACCCCGTGACCTTCTGAAAGACACCCCCTGCCTTGCCGACCCCCCTCCCGACCCCTCCTGGGCGCCTCGACCCCTCCTGGGGGGCACCCCCGCCGAGGCGTCCAGGGCGGCCTCCGCGACGGCCCAGGCAGACCGGCCAGGCCGCCAAGGTGGCCCACTGTGCTCCCCTTCTGGCAGCCCGAGGTTGCACGTGTGAGGCCTCCGGGCGGCCCCAAATGGCCCCAGGACGGCCAAAGAGGAGGAGGAGGAGGAGGAGGAGGAGGAGGAGGAGGAGGAAAAAGAGGAGGAGGAGGAGGAGGAGGAGGAGGAGGAAGAGGAGGCCCCCCGAGACGGCCCAAGACGGGACCCTGTAGAGCGCGAAGAAGTTAACATGGATACGCCGAAAACTCTTAAACATGGTTTGGCGCTCTCACACTTTAGGGCTTCCGGGCACCTAAGACAGCGCGAGAGGCATCCAGTATGGCCCCAAGACTGCCCAAGAGGCCCCTGAGACTATCCAAGAAGCTCTGAAGATGGTCCAAGAGGCCCGAAGAGGCCCCGAGACGCCCCAAGAGACCTCCAAGACGGCCCTTCAGGGCCCCAAAACGTCCCTGACAGGCCCCTAAAGCAGACCCCGAAGGCGCCAGACTGCCCAGGAACGCGCAAGACGACCCAAGGAGATTCCAATACGCCCCACAAGTCCTCCAGGAAACCTCCAAGAAGCCTCCAAGAGGCCCCCAAGAGGCCTCAAGAAAGGCGGAGGGAAGAAGAGGCCTGAGAGGAAAGGAGACAAAGATGCGGCGAACACGAAGAGAGGCACCCCGAAACGACGTGGAAGAGCTTGACAAATTTGATGGCTCTCCCAAGCCTCGGAGAACGAGGTGTCACACGTTACGGCTTCCTGTGCTGGACTGGCACGGCGGCGGGACTTGCCGCAGGCAGCTGGATAATATGACACCAACCAGGAAAAAGGGGTGAGCTGGGCCATGATCCCGCGCAGCGATGTGAATAGCCGTCTGGGTACCGCCAGCGGCCCATGAGGTCCTTGTACCTGATTCCCAGCGCCGCCTCTCTCCCGCTCCTCCTCCTCCTCCTCCTCCTCCTCCTTTCTCCCTCACCCTGCTTTTCATCACCCTTTTCCTCTATCCTCCGCAGTCCTCCCCAATCCTGTTTCCACACGTGGTGGCAGGGCGGGCCAGGCGTTTGGCCGTACACGACGTGTGGTCACGAGACCCAAAGGCTCCAGCAGTTGCACGGACAGATGGCTCTCACCTGGCCGCCTTGCACATTCGTCCTCAACGTTTCTTACAGACACGGGCGGAATGCGAATGATTTCCGACAATTGGCAATTGCCTGAGCGCCTTGCACATTCGCACTGAGCGTTTGCAACACGTTCTCGTTCTCAGAATGAGGCTCTCGTCATAGCGCCGCTCGCATTCATCTGAAACGCTCGCAACATATGTGCGACTGCAGGCCGCCCTGTAAAATAATGTCATTGTTTTAGCGCCGTGCGCCTCTCGTGGCACAAGTATACAGCAACGCGGTTCCTTGCCATAGCAGAACTCTCGCCTCAAGCATCATCGGAATTTTACAACCACCAAAACTGACAACCTGTGCAGCAAGTTCTTTTTCGTCGCAGCACGGCAGAGGCAATCCGCTCTGGCGCTCGACTTGTCGAGAACACTCGACAGACGAATTGTCCGGCTGCAAGACAGGGCGCGCGGGGGGGGGAGGGGCGGCCGCAAAGGACAGGAGGGAGGGGAGCGCACTCACGGCACAAAGCGTTTCAGGATGAGTGCGCCGGAGCGACCAGCCGGGGCTGAAGTGACCTGCAAGTGGGCGCGGGAGGGCATCGCGGCAACACCCGCGGACCGAAGCCCGGGCTGCACGCGCTGGAAGCTTGAAGGGCAAGGTGAACCAGCACATGAAGAAGAGGGCCGACGGGGCTGCAACCGGCGCAAGAAGGCGCGGCGCACGAAGAGGGAGCGCCCACCTTGGATGGCAAACGTCCGGACCAGGGCACCAGAGAAGTGAAAAGACATATGTTTTTCCCCGCGGCGAGGAGCAGCTCCGCCCGCGCCCTCCGCGCCCGCGCCGCGCCGCAGCGCGGGCAGCCCGGCGGCCCCGGGGCGCAGCCGCGCAGCGAGGTCCAGCGGCCGCGCGCGCGGCAGGCGCGTGGAGCGCCTGGGCGGGCCAGCGCCGTCCGCGGCGGCGCGCCCAGGATCGCCGCCAGGCCCGGCGGCAGGTCGGGCCGCGTCGCCCGGAGCCTTCGCCCTCCATCCTAGCTCGCCAGGGATGCGGCTGATCGCGGCCATGGAGGGCCGACAGTCCTGGGGGGGCCGACGGCCTGCCTCTTCCGCTAGGCCCTGAGCTGCTGGGGCCGCCCCCAGGAGGAGGCGACCCGAGGCAGGGGGCACTGCGAGGACAGCCAGGAACGCCACATATTGTGGCAACGGCTTGAGGAGAGTCGCCCAGCAGGCGGGGGTCGACTCTCATGCGCGCTATCCCTTGGCAAGAACAGTCACACCCTGAGCTAAAGGCAATGGCAAGGTCACAAATAACACCCCTCGACGATCTATCTGTGACCGTTTTCCGGGTCAATGGCAGCCCCATCTGCAACCGTTCCCTTCGGGCTCCTACCTGCGCTCTTTCGCTGAAAAGGGCCGCCGGAGGGAGAAGACGCTGGGGGTCGGCGGCAGACGCGGCAACTGCGTCACCAGGTGCGCGACTCATCGTCGCAACCACTCGTGGATGAGACGCCGTGGGAGCCACCTGTCCCGCGGGGCGGTCTTGGGGGCCTTCGTCTGGGCTCTCGGATCGTGGACCGGCGTGGTCCGCCGCAGGCGCGGCGCTGGGGGCAGCGGGTGGCAGCTGGCGCAGCGCCCCCTCTGCCCGTCGCCTCGCTTCGACGTCGCCCCGCGCGGGGTCGAGCCAGGCTCGGCAACTGTCGGAGGCCAAGCGCCGCAGCCGCGGCCCGACGCAGGCGCTCCACCGCCACGCCAGTCCTGGCGTCTGCGCCGCCGCGGCAGGCCGCCGCGGGGCGCAGCGTCAGGCCGCAGCGCCCGCGGGGAGGTTTGCCGCTTGCGGGCGTCTGCGCCCGCCCGGGGCCGAGCGCCCCGAGTCGGCGGCCCGCTCTCGTCGCTCAGGGGCGGCAGCTGGCCCCGCGGCGGCGGCCAGGGCGGCAGTCGCATCCTCGGCGCCTGCTCCAGAGCTCCTCCCAACAGCCCGCTGAGCAGCGCCAGAGCCGGCTGCCGCTGCCCCTGCCCGCGTTTCTCGCGCGCGCTAGTATCACCCAGGCGACTCCAACGTAGGACCCCCGGGGGCTCATCCGGAAGGAAAGAACTTCTGGGGCGCGCCCGGGAACCCAGGGGGTCCGGCTTCCGCGGAGGAAAAAAAGAAATCCCTGGCGGGGGGTTCGAGCACGCCCCCCCCCCATAAAATTCTGGAAGAAGAACTCTCAGCCGCGGGGGTGCCCGCGCGAGGGCCCCCGCCCAGCGCAACCGGAGGAGGAAAAGCGTGAGAGCCACGCGGAAGAAAAATATAAATCCACGCGCCGCCAAGGGTCCCGGGTTTAACGGGTCGCCGCGAAGATTGACCCCCCCCAGAAAGAAGAAAAGAAATCCAGCCAGGGGGTTGGGGGATGCAGGCACGAGTCGTGGGGGCGATGCGCTAGTCAGGGTGCCGCAGCAGATGGTGGCGTGCTCCAGCTTCACTCCCAACATCTCGCTGAGCAGCGCCAGGGCCGGTTGCAACTGCCCCTGCCCGTCGTTCCCGCGCGCGCTGATCAGGGCGTTGCAGCAGGTGATGGTGGGGCCCGGCAACACTCCCAACATCTCGCTGAGCAGCGCCAGGGCCGGTTGCCAGCCCCTGCCCGTCCTTCTCGGACGCGCTGACCGGGATGCTGTAGCAGATGCTGGTGGGCCCCAGCTTCGCTCCCAACAGCTCGCTGAGCAGCGCCAGGGCTGGCTGCTACTGACCCTGCCCATCCTTCTCGCACGCGCCGATCGGGGCGTTGTGGCAGGATTGTGGGGTCCAGTTTCACTCCCAACACCTCGCTGAACAGCGCCAGGGCCAGCTGTTGCTGCCCCTGCCCGTGGTTCCCGCACGCGCTAATCGTGCCGTTGTAGCAGAATGCTCCAGGGTCCAGCTTCACCCAAACACCTCGCTGAGCAGAGACGAGGTTGGTTGCCACTGCTTGCGCTTTTCGCACGCGATGATCGGAATGCTGTTTATCGTACTCTCGCGAACTATGATCCCAGCCTGTAGCTGATAACGTGTGGACTCCAATTCTCTCGCTGGCGATGATGGTGGCGTCAGTGATCCAGGCTGTGCTGTCGAGGATGCTGGCGTCGGTACTCCTGGCTATGCTGGTGGGGATGCTGGCGTCGGTGCTCCCAGCTGTACTGGCAAAGACGCTGGCGTCGGTGCTCCCAACTGTGTCGGCACGGATGGAGGCGTCGATGCCCCTGACTGCGCTAGCGAGGATGCTGGTATTGGTGCTCCCTGCTGCGATGGCGACTGTGCTGGCGTTGGTGCTCCTGGCGGTGCTGGCGAAGACGCTGTCGTCGGTGCTCCTGGCCGTGCTGGCGAGGAGGCTGGCGTCGGTGCTCGGGGCTGTGATGGTGCGGATGCAGACGTGCTCCCGGCTGAGCCAGCCAGGGTGCTGGCATCGTGGTTCCCAGCTGCGCTGGCGAGGATACTGTTGTTCGTCCTGTATGATTTGCTGTCGATGATGCTGGCGTGGGTGCTCCCAGCCGTGCAGCAGTTACACAGACAGTGGGCAAACTGAACAAGCTTTTTCCTCCCCCTGCGGGTTGGGCCCGACGGGTCAAAACGAAAGACGGCGCTATGCGCGGACCTATGCAACGATACGCACCGTAGCACTGAGTGCTTTACGGGATAACGGCCAGCTCGCGATGATCGTCGCACTCTCGCCGCACTCCAGAGACTGGCCCTTCAGCAAAAGCCTCCTCTTGTGCAGCGCCACCTCGGTAATCCTCCACCCAGGCGTGCCGTCGGCGAGACAGGGGCTCACAAGACCAGCAGGCTTGCTGGCCTTTTGACTGCTTTTGATTGCGAAAGCAAGACGAACAGGAGGAGGAGGAGGAGGAAGAGGAGGAGGAAGAAGAAGAAGAGGAGGAGGAGGAAGAAGAAGAAGAGGAGGAGGAGGCAGAGGAGGAGGAGGAGGAGGAGGAGGAGGAGGAGGAGGTCCATGGAAGAGGATAAAAGAGGCAGAATGGAATGCTCTTCCTCCGCTTCCTCCTCCTCCTCCTCCTCCTCCTCATCCGACTTTTCAGTGGAGGCGAAAAAGATGGCGAAGAAAAAGATGACGAGAGCGACAGAGGATCCGGAGGAGGAAGCGAAGCAGGAAAAGGAGGAGGGACGAGGGGAAGGACGAGAGACGAGAGAGAGGCGAGGATCGGGAGGTCTGCGTCGACGGTCGTCGGAAGAATCTGGCTGGCGCCCGACCAGCCCCCCACCCCCTCACTCTTATCCGCAACTTCGGGCTACCAGGCCTGGCCAAACAAGAGCTGAGAAGACCATAGTAAACCACAGGACCAGACGAGGCAGTGCCAGAACAGACCATCAAAGAGGAGGAGATGAATAAAACATACATACGCCTCGGTGACAACCTCCTCCTCCTCCTCCTCCTCATCCTCCTCTTCCTCCTTCTGTTCCTCATATTCTTCCTCCTCGCCTGAGACTTCCTCACCATTTTGACCCTGTTGTTGAAAGTTGGCAGCAATTTCACACATGAATGGCGGGTAATTTTCAAAATGTGGCTCTCGCCTTAACGCCGCACACATTCGGTTTAAATTAAGCCGGAGTTGAACGGATCGCGGGCGGGTCGTTTTCAAAATGCGTCTTTCGCCTCAGCGCCGCGCAGTCTTCCTCCTCACCATCTTCCTCTTCTCCTCGTCATCATCCTGCATCTCCTCTTACTTTGATATGTGAGCGTTTTCTATTCGGCGTTTCGACATTGGGCGGAAAGGGGGGGAAGGGGGGGTCTGGCTCCGGAACATTGCTTAGTGCGACTGTTAGGAACCGTGCATCCTATGGGGTAGGGACTCCACCTGCTCAAAACAGGCGCCAGAAACAGCCAAGATCTACTCCATAAGGGGGGGGTGCGAGGGCCCGCGCCGATCGGCAAAACAATGCATAACAAGAACGGCCACTATCACCCAGGACATGCCTACATGTTGCATCTTCAATCTCCACCTTGGCTTACTCTCTGCAACCAACTCTCCAGTATGTCGGGGAGCCCAGGCACGCAGGGGAGCATAAAGGAGGAAAAGCGGGAAGGCCAGAAAAAGAGAAATGATGGAGGCGAGTCCCCATACAGTTACCGGCCTGACCTACGGAACCATAAATAAGGAACGAAACTCCTTTTTGTTCCAAAGAGTAACGCATAAGGAACGGAAAATAATACATAACGCAGAAGGACGATAAATAACGCATGCAAACCTAAGGAACGACCGAGCCCCTTTTGAAAAGCAAGTGTTCCTCATTCAAGCCGCTCACTGTGTAAAGGAGAAAAAGAGGGAAGGCCAGGAGAGGAGAAATGATGGAGGAGAGTCCCAAAACGCACACGCAGAGTCCCTGAGAGCATCGTAAAGCTCCCCTCGAGATGGGGCGCGGAACTGGCACGGGGACTCGCGAAGCGCAAAGCACTTCTCTTAGGTGCAGCTGGTCATGACATGTGGTGTTTCATGTTCAGTCTAACTGGTGAACAACAGGTACCACAACTCCTCTCGGCACCATCAAGTGGATGACCAGCTTTGGAACCAGCATCTATTACAATGACGCGCGCGTGAATGGACAAGTCCGCCACCCTGCCCAGAGGAACGAAGCGGTGTGTGCGAATGTCCCCTCTGTATCGGATCTAACAGTTATTAGTTGCTGATGTCTCAGAAGCCCAGGGCTCAGACTCCCGGAGTTCCTGGGCGCTCTCGGGCGCGTGCCAAGCGCTAGCAGGCTGCGCCGCGTGGTGACCTTTCCAGAGGCCTCGGGAGCGTGGTTCGGGCATCGCGCTTCCAACATACCCGATATGGTCCACAGGAGCCGTCCTGGAGCTCTCTTCGTGACCTCTTGGGCCGTTTTGGGGGCCCTGGGGGTCGGCCCAAGAGCGCCAAATGCTTGAAGAAGTATGTGTCTTGTGGCGCGAGCTTCGCACTCTCGCATGTTCGATCTCGAGAGCGTCCAAGACGGCCAAAAACAGGAGGCACCCGATCTGACATTGTGAGCTCTTCAGCCCAGAGTGTCCCCAGATACAGCCAGCAGGGCCACAAGAGGACCACAAGAGGCCGCCCCTAGACGTCCCCGACGAGCCCCAAGGAGGCTCAGAAAGTGCCCCCTGAGAGGCTCACAACAGGCCCCCAAAAGCATCCAAGAGGCCTCAAGCATGGTGGCGGGACAAGCAGAAGGGCACTCGATCCGCCACCACCGTAGCCTGCCAGAGAGGTACATGGCGGGCCGAGATTGAGACATGTTCGTGGCCCTTCCAGCAAGTCCCCAGTGGTATTTGGCCCGACCTACTGGCCACGCGGACAAAAAAACTCTTATCGGCGCTCCTGCCCGGGTCTACGAGGGTCTCTCTGAGACGGCGAAGATGTGCAAATCTGGCATCTAAGACGGTCCGAAGACATCTCCAAGACGGGCGAGATTGCCCAAGACGGCCCAAGATTCTCCCAAGACGCCCCGAGAGCGGTCCAAGAGAGCTTCAGGAGGACCCGAAGAGACACAAATCATTGATGTCGCTGGGCATGTGACAGATTTGACATTCTCGCCTTTCGGTTTGAAGAAAGTCCAAGGCGGCCCAACCGACCGACCCCTCAAGACCGCCCCCCAAGACGGCAAACGAAGGCCCTCAAACGGCCCAAGAGAACCCTAAGGCAGCCCTCAAGGGCGCCAAGAAGGCCCCAATAGACCCCGAAGGCGGCCTCCAGGGGCGCCAGACGGGCCGAGAGGGCACCAAACTGGTCCACGAAGGCTCACAAAGGGCCCGAAAGAGCCCCAAGACAGCCGCAGGACTGCACCAGAGGGGCACTCCAGTAGCCGATTCAAAGCGCTGGACACCCCAACAGCCGATTCAAAGCGATTTTCGAAACTTACTTTTACACAAACTATCGGTCACCAGTGCCGTACCCTTACACAGGGGCAGGGGGCGAGGGTGACGCGACGTTGGCGTCTCCGTTTTCGACACATGACGACTGGTAACAAAAAAGGTGCCGGAGGCAACTGGGCAGTCGAGCTCTTCAATCGTAGGCTCTCTGAGGAAGGCGGTCGGGGAGGAATGGAAGGAGAGGGGATGGGAAGGAAGGGGAAGCTTGAGGGAAGGGAGAATGGAAGGAGAGGGGACGGGAAGGAAGGGGAATGCAAGGAGAGGGGATGGAAGGGAAGGGGAAGCTTGAGGGAATGGGAAAGGGGAGTGGAGATGGGGAGGGGGGCAGCGGGGAGCGGAGGCGACGGGATGGGCGAGGAGAGCGAGGGGGCGGGGCGCGGGGGAGAGAACGGGAGGGGATCTGGGGAACAGGAGAGCGGGAGGAGAGACGGTTGATGGACAAAATCCTGCACTCTTTTTTAGATTTACGTTGCTGCCCCCCCGCGCCCCCAATTGTGCGTCGTCGTCCCGGTTGCGCGGCTGGTGCAGGACTCTGTCCATCAACCGGAGGGCAACACCGATGACCAGTCGTGCAACTGAGGAACAGGAGCACGGGCCACCATTGGGCGCGAGGCCCGCAAAATTAGACGAGCTTCTTGCCCGTCTTGGGATGTTTGCCAGCTCTGATCGCAGCGATGTGGTATCGCTGCCTAGACCTGGCTGGCTTGTCCTCGGCTGGACCCATGCAGTCCGAGTCAAGGTCACACATGTAGGAGCCTGGGCAGGAGAGAGGGAAGGGCAGGACAGAAGAGGGGAAGGGAGGAGCACTTCACAATGAGTCCGCTGGCACTGCCCCGCCCCGACCCCTGTCCCCGCCTGCACCTCCGAAGGGGTAGCCCAGCGCGCTGCAGGCACCGGTTCTCCGCAGTGCAGAGCCACAACATCAATTCCCGCCTGGCCATGGAATATTGTCATCCTCATCACCATCCTCATCATCATTATCCCTCCCTCGGCCCCTCCTTCTGCGTCCCTCCTCCTCGTCCCTCATCCATCCGTTCTCCCGTCTCCTTCCTCTCCCACATCCTGCTCTTCTTCCTCCTTCTTCTCATCCTCCTGCTTCTCGCGCAGATCACATCTTTAATGGATCTGAAGCTTGAGATTTCCAACACATGCACGGATGTAGGGCGGGTCTTTTACGACATCCGGTGTGGATGAGACATCTTCACGTTTCTTGGTCGTCGGGCATCATTCCTGGTAGCTGCGCGGACGGGCGCAAGGAGCCCCCTTGACAATATCCATCTCTCGCATTACGGCCTTACGTGTCTCTCATTCCTCTACCAACTACACGGATGGAGAACGACTCACTGTCAAACTCATCGCTGAAACATTTTACGCGGCCGAATGCGAAAACGACTGTCAGTGCACATGTCATCAAAGCCGGCCTGGTCCCTATTGCAATCACATATAATATAGGCTGACTTGTTACGGCATGTGATATGTAATGATTACATCGCAATGGCGGAGCGCGATAATACCCAACAGCCCAACACACTCACAAAGCTTTTTACTCCTTCTAGCCCCATCGCGTCCGAACGACCCCATGAACTCCCAGAAAGTCGTGACGTACACCTCATTTCCATTTATTGATATCATCGACTTGTTCGCCTTCTTTCCCCTCCCCTGGGGTCCAACATCCAATTAGAGAGGGGATGGGGAGACGAGCTCGGCAACGCACCTGCGGGGCCCTCTTGAGCATCCAACCCACCCTCCGTGGCTGCCAAGATTTCCAGAGGCCGTGAAAGATGGCTCCAGGAGGAGCTCCAAAATGTGGGAGAAGCCTCAAGAACACTCAAAATGGCCTCAAGAAGGCCCAAGACTCCCACCCGGTGGCCCCAAGAGGACCCCAAGAGGACCCCCAGGAGAGCCTTACGAGGCAACAGTAATTAATCATATGTTGTTTTTGTTTGTTGCCTGTTTCAATGATGTTCGAGTTCTCGTATTTCCAAGTTTCTGAGAATCCAATACTGCCCGAGCGGCCCCCCAGACAGGCCCAATAACTTTCAATAAAGCCCAGAGAAGGCCCAAGAAGGCCCTAAGGCGGCCCAAAAGCCCTTTAGAAAGCACGCAAACTCTGAAGCGGACTTCAACTGGGGCCCAAGAGACGCCCGAGACGGGAAACTCGCAGGGACCCTGGGAGCACTCCACCACAAGATGGCCCCTAAGATTCCCAACGTACCCCCAAGACCCCCCCAGAGGACCCCAACAAGCCCCCAAGAGATTAAAAAGGCTTCAATCGACCGCCTCCTGGGCTTCCAAGAGGCCCCCAATACAGTCGTGGCGTTGACCTAAGGAACCCTAAATAAGGAACGAGGCTCCTTTTTCCATAAGTTAAACTTCGATTTCAGATCGAAAACATAAGGAAAACCTGAGGCAAGCTGTGAAACATTTTAAGGAACGCGGAGCCCCTCCCCAACGAAAAAGGGTTCCTTCTTCAGGGCCCCGACTGTAATCCCGCCCAACTGACGCAGAGGAAGAAGCAGACAAATCATCAACAGCCACACCCACGCAGCACGTCGGGAAGTGTCAAACGACATATACAACATTGGATGCCGCACAACTCTTCTGGCGGTCGCAAAACTGGCGTAAGCCTCTATAGAACAGCCATGTGTGTTTCGTGTGTGCGTGTGCTATCGTTTGAAGAACTCGATATTGAAATAGTTAGACAACCGAATGCTTTTGAATGATATGGTCTTGCGCGCGCGATCGCGGGCATGTGGTCCACATAATGGTAGCTCATGGGGATGCACAAAATAGATCGAAACCTTTCCATTGCATAATATGTGTCGCAGGAAATCGTGCCAGAACCAGATCCCGCGGATCACCGAATGATGTAATGACATAGCCAGGATGGGCGTTTATCCCATCAAGCATTTGCAAACACACAGGAACTTGGGGGAGACGGCGGATCGTGCCCGGTACAGCCAACCAGAGAAGCTCAAACAAAGAATTACGGCTGTAGCATCGTACCTCTATAGCGACTCGCTGTCGTACTCCCTCTAACTTAACTGTATTGGACATCGAGAAACACAAGGTTGTCTGACGCCTAGATGCAATTCTGCCCCCATCTTCCTCCCTCCTCCATTTCACCCCCCCATGCTCCCCTCTTATAACAGCTGCAAACATGGATGGCGTTTCATGACCCGACGTATAAACTTGTGCAACAGTTGCGTCGACATGCGCGGAATGTCCTCTCCAAAAAGAGAAGATCGCTAAACACCGCGTTGACTTGTATGATCATACCTTTTCGAATCCCAGCATCGTGCTAACGGGAGGGTGTATTGCAGCATCGCTGGCGCATTCTGAATTTACTCTGGTCCTCCTCCTCCTCCTCCTCCTCCTGCTCCTCCCTCACCATTACCCTGCAGGAATAACACTCATGCATACACACATGTTCGACGGTCCGCGCGGATTTCTTGGATTTGCGCTTGACCCCCCTCCCTGGGCCCAGCGGCGATCCAAGAAATACGCGAGGACCGTCGAAAGCTCATGTTTACAGTCAACCCGTATAATAAGGACGCACCATGAGGATGCAAGGGCCTTGGAAAAGGCCATGTCGACACTTTGCGAGCGGGGCGCGGCCAGCGAAAGCGGACAAGGATGGGCCGAAGGAGAAGGATGCCAAAATGACCTTGGAAAACCGCTCATCCTTACTAATACGGGTTGAAATTATGCTGAGCTTCTTCGATACATGGTTCCTCTGCTTCTCCACCCTCCCTCGTCCTCGTCCTCGTCTTCGTCCTGCTCGTCCTCCACACCCTCGCCCCCGTCCTCGTCCTCCACGCCCTCGTCCCTCCACACCCCTGCTCCCCGTCCTCGTCCTCCACACCCTCGCCCCCGCCCTCGTCCTCCACGCCATCGTCCCTGCGCACCCCTGCTCCCCGTCCTCGTCCTCCACACCCTCGCCCCCATCCTTGTCCTCCACGCCCGCGTCCACCCCCACACCCCTGTTTCCCGTCCTCGTCCTCCACACCCTCGTCCTGTCCTCGTCCCCGTTCGGTTACACGCAAGAGTGACCCTAGGCAAGAATGACCTTTGGTGCGCGGGATAAGGGGGCGCAAGGTGGCCAAATCCAGGCGCGCAAGCAACCGCTAACGCATCGCGCTCAGCGTTTCAGGGGGGCCAGCATGAGCCCGCAACAAAGGTCACTCCAGCGAAATGTCACTCTTACGTGTAATCGACCCGTCTTCATCCTCCTGCTCCCCGCCCTCCCCTCCCCCCTGCTCCTCCCGCGTGCCCAGCGCGCCCGCAGCCTCGAGGCACAAGGCGGCGGCCCGCCCCGCTCCCGCAGCGCGTCGCGCAGACAGTTGGCGTGGGAGCCCTCGCGGCAGATGTCCTCTGACGGGTCCGCGGGGGCGACGGGTTTCGACGACCGACATGGGTACGGGACAACATGATACGATGCCCAGCCGCAATTGTTGCCCCAAACTGACAGCGGCCGCTGTTGGGCATGCGGCGGTCTCCTGTCTCAGTTTTTTCCAACGACTGCGGCCTAGCCAACAACGAACCCTGTTTAGAATGGAGAACAACTGCTGTTGGACTTTGTACCCATCGTTCCCGTACCCATGTCGATCGTGCCGAATGGGGGGGGCAGGTCGCGATGCAGGAAGCGGGGCCCGAGGGAAACGGGACTGCAAGCTGCTCCCTGTTCTGGGCTCCCCAGGGCCTTCCATGGGAGCCCTTGAGGAAGGCCCCAGGCTCCAGGACCCGCTTCCTGCGCGCCGAGCAGGAGGACTGGGGCAACGAGCTCAGGGGGCGGGCGCGAGGAGCAGCAGCACCCCGGGGCGGCCCCTCGCTGAACCTCTGTCGGCCCCCCGCGTGGCCCCCTCCCCCCCCGTCGTCGCGCTCGTCGGCTCCATCAACGGCCGGACCGAACCGTTCGTCCCAACGCCCCCGCCCGCCCAGCTCGATGGTGCGCGCGCCGCGGGGGCGACGGCTGCACCTCTCGGAACACAAGGGCCGCCCGTTCCGAGCTTCGCGTAGGAGCAGCAGGGCAGGATGAGGAGCACCGACGCCACCGCCAGAAACAGGAGAAACGCTATAGATACGGGAGGAGGAGGAGGAGGAGGAGGAGGAGGAGGAGGAGGAGGAGGAGGAGGAGGAGGAAGAGGAGGAGGAGGAGGAGGAGGAGGAGGAGGAGGAGGAGGAGGAGGAGGAGGAGGAGGAGGAGGAGAGGAGGAGGAGGAGGAGGAGGAGGAGGAGGAGGAGGAGGAGGAGGTTGGAGGAGGAGGAGGAGGAGGAGGAGGGAGGAGGAGGAGGAGGAGGAGGAGGAGGAGGTTGGAGGAGGAGGAGGAGGAGGAGGAAAACGAGGAAGAAAACGAGGAGGAGGACCAAAACCGCCCCAAGGAGGCATAAAAGGCCCCCAAGTCGGCTCAAATAATCTCGAGACGGCCCCAGAGGCGCCCACGAACATCGATGATGCCCAAGGATTGCCTCAAACGGTCCCTCGCCTCAAGCGCCCCTTTTCGGCCCGCGCGAATCTTCGCCCCCGCGTCAGAGCCACCTAACGAATCAAGGGTTCGACGGCGCAGCGTAGCAAACCGTAGAAATCTGGTATGTACAGATTTGTACACTGCTGTGTGTATATATATATATATATATATTCTATATATATATATATACTGACGACGCTCAACCCCTCGAGGTTTCAAGCGAGGCTCCTCTCTTTCTGTAAGAGATCCGCCTTCGGCACCGCAGACTGTGCGAAGCACCGCCTGCAGCGCTGGTCACCTCTGCGGCCAAGCGCACAACTGCGAGCGGCCCGCACCACACCTCTGCGCGGTGTTTCGGCCACTCGCCACCACAAAAAATTATTCGACGGACGTTTGCTCACTGTTTCTTGGCCGTCTTGTTGGCCTTGCTCTGGGACGACGCTAAGCTTGTGAAGGCAACTGCCACCTCTTTGGCCACAGCACCCCTTGGAGCAAAATCTTCCACGATAGTCAAACCAACATTAGCAAGAGTCTTCTCATACATGAGAATACGAAGGTCATTCTTAAAATCATTCTCAGAAAGTAAAGCATCCATGTATCGCATTTTGCCCCATCCAATTCGATCTCAACACGAGGTGCACGAAGACAACGTACCGTGGAATCAGTTGTGCACCTCTCACCAGAGGATTTGACATTAGAAATCGCCATCGCCGTCGGCCCCCGAAGATGGTCCACCTTTTCTTTCCAAATTGCTGCTGGAAGTATTGAGAGAACCTCACTATCAAAGCTCTGCCGCACGCATCCAGCTTGGTACCATGCGGATGGCAACGATACTCGCTACCCGTCTCCTCTGCCCTACTCCTTGCGGCCTTTCCCTCCTTTTCGTAGTCCATCTCCAGCTTTCGTTTGAGTTTGGCGAACTGGCAGGAAGTCAGCATCTGAAACGCCATGTTGTCGGTTCTCGCCGCGTTCCCCTGCCCGTCCATGACCTGCAGCGCGGGCTTCGCCGTCGCCGGGGCCAGCTTCCGCAGGTTCTTGCTGGGCAGGTCGCCCGCGCCCTCGGCCTCAGCCGCGCCCTCGCCCTTGCGCTCGCTGTCCTCCGTCGTCCCATCCTCGACCGCGCCCCCCGCGCCCCCCTCCCCGAACGCCGCCGCCGATGGGCGCGGGAGCAGCTGCAGGGCGCCGAAGTACACTGGCAGCAGCAGCAAGGCGTCGAATTACACCGGCAAGAGCTGGAGGTGCACTGGCAGCAGATCCCCGTCTAAGAACAGGCGCGGTGGGCAGAGGGGCCCGCCCAATAGGAATCAGCAGTGCTCGAGCCCGAGGCCCCGCTGATGCGCGACGTCGCTGCCGAGCGCGACGCAAAAGGGCGCCCCGACGCGCCAAGACTGCGGAACAAAGAAGACGCGTGAGATTGTGCACGTCCGTAAAAGACCTCCCCCCATGCATGCGAGCACGATGGATAGCAGGACCCGTCGCACCAACGCAGACTTCCCGACGCACGGGACAACGTATTTTCTGCGCCTCCCCATTCTCAACTTTGTCGCGTCGAGGGTCGGCTGATGACGCGCGCGGAGGATGCGACGCGATTACCAACGTCTGGAAGACCAGCGGGCTCGCGCAGCTCAGCGCGTCGCGCGTTTGGTAGCGCATCAGGCAAGCAACGCAGATCTCGACACAGTGAGATCAGGCGTTCACTGATCTGTCCTCCTCGGCCACCTCCACCCTCTCGCTCGAACGCCAGCCCCCCGAATATCACCGCCCGTGCCCCAACGCTCATCGCGCCCCATCCCGTCCTCCTCCTGGAAGACTGGTCTCAACACATGTCTGCGCCAACGCAACCTCCGATGCAATGGTGCAGTGTGTCTACTGCACGCGCGTGCTTGTTCGCGAATGGCAGCATTGGTAACCTCTCCCATGTGAACAAGTAGGGGGCCACATGCGAACGCTACCCCTGCCCCCCACGATTTCTGGGGGGGAGGGCGGGGTTCACTTCGCTAGTGACCTCCCGAACGAAGTGAACCCCACCCTCCCCCTCAGAAATCATGGGGGGGGGGGGGGGGGGGTATGGGGTAGGGTTCGCATGTGGCCCCCTAACAAGGGAGATCAGTCGGTGTTTGAGTTCCTTGGTTTGGAGTCGGTCCAGTCGGGCCTCGTCCGCTACCGTCGCCACCTGGAGATTGGCGGCGCGCAATAAAATAGAACGGACCAGAGACGCCCACAATCGTATCTTGAGGTGGAAGGATATCTCGCCACTACGCCATACTCCCATAGTTGACCTAGAACGAGCAGCAATAGCTTTGGCGATCCGAGTCGAGACCTCCTCGAGCGACCCCCCGTCGCCGCGGACCTGGGCACCGACGCACTTAACCTAAGGAAGCGGCCGAAAACGCAGTGGCACCCGCCCCGAACTTCACCTTCTTAATATCCCTGTTCGCTTTCTTAAGGCTCCCACCGCAAACCACGAACAAAGCCTCCGGCTTGCCGACGCTCGCTTTTACGCGTCGCCCAAGAGCCGTCGCTTGGATAAGGGCCACGAACTCTCCGATGCCACTTGCATGTGGCATTTCCAGCAAGCGAAACTAAATCATCAACGAATTCCATCTGCGAAACATCATGCTGCAGCTCGTTGGGGATCATCGCGAGGCACTGGGTCGTCCTAGCGCCGACGTCAACTCAGGGTCGAACACAACTTCAAGAGACTCATGCCCAGCCTCATCCAGCGCTCTTTGCACATCGCAATATACGAACTCAGGCGCAGCCAGAAGGGTAGACCCTTCAACGCTGCCTTGTCGCACGCCTTCTTCAATCTCAAGACGACGGATAACCTGCTGCGTTCGAAAGTCACGAACCAAGTAGCGCGCGCCGTCGCGAAGCCGCTCCTCGAATAAAGCCGGCCCTCGAGACACGGCTGGCCCATCGATCGCCCCCCGGATATCGCGCCGAGACATCTCTTCGAAGGCCTTTTCCAACTCGAACAGGATCGCAACCGAGGTAGAGCGCTTTCCGCGTCGAACGTCGCCCCCGCCGAAACCTGCTTCATCTCTCGTCAAAGCAAGACAGCGCGTCGCGAGTGGCCCGACCAAGGAACGCCTCGAACTGAAAGACAGACACCTCTTTGGCAACTCCGGAACGGAAGGGTTGGAGAGCAACGCGCAGCATCATTTTACCAACGTGAGAAAGGATCTTGGGCGTTCGGTCATGATTAGCAGCGTTAGATCCATCGCCTTCGGTTCCCCCCTAGAGACACGGTCTCCCCATCTTGACGCTGCGCTGGGCTCTCAAGTCTCGCGCCCACCGCCGACGACAAAGCCGTGGGAGACAACCGCGCGCATGGCAGCGCAAGCTCCCGTAATTCAGACACCGCACCTGGAGACATCAAAACAGCAACACTACATTCAAGTTGATCAACGCACCGTAGTCCAGGAGCGGCTTCGTTGTTGGGCGTGGCCTTGACAGCCCTGCAAACTTGATCAGGCTCCATATCGCGCATGCGCTGCTGGTCATCAATGCCATCAGTTGGTTGACATTCAGAAAGGGGGGCGATCGCCGATCGGTTGCGCAACGCCTTCAAATATCTGAATGAGCACCTGCGCGCGCACTTCCATCTCGCGGCCCAAATCCACGCGAGGTGTTTGTCCATCCCAAACCGCTACCATTGGCGCCGACGGCTTAAGAGCTAAGCTCATATACATTACGGATATCCTTTTCTCTAGATGCAGCCTCAGCCTCCGCGCGCGCGCCCGCGAAGCACTGGGCCTTCTCACCTTTGACTGCTGCTTTATCTCCCCGCCGTGGCCTCTTCCATTTTGCCATCATATGCATAGCTTGCCGGGCGCCAGTCGAGCGCGAAAGAAGAGCAGCTAGCTTGCGTCGAATCTCATGTTTCACCCGAGTGTGGGCA